CTCACTATGTCTTCTAGGTTTTCACTGGATTGAACACAAATAAAATTCCTTAACCTTCCTGAAAACTTCAGCAAATACAACCGAACCTATATCTGCATTGATAGACACCACTAAAAGTAATTTAGAAAACATTGTCCTTTCAATTTGGGTGAACCCACCCACTTTTAAAAATTCTTCATACACAGCCCATCGTGGGTCAAACGGTGCAAATGTAAAACTCCAAACAAACATTTACATCTATAGTGAGCTCTGATGCAGACTGATCCCTGAGTTCACTGCGTGGGCATGATCCATTAAGTCTCTCCACGCTCCAGTGTCATAAGTTTATCAGGCAGCATCAGCCCATTAACGCACAACAAGGACCATTGTCACATCGAAGCAGAAAGGCAGAAAGAAAGCGACAGAGTGAAAGAGCAATATTCTCACTGGGGTTTTGTGCTCCGACATGCCTGACATTCCAATAAGCAGCAGTGTAGGCTGGCCGCCTGAACGTTATTATGCAACAGGCAGATGTTTGTGGGAGAGAATGAAAGTTAAAGAGCATAGAGTTCATTCTGTGGGGACCTGCAGTGAGGGATTGTGAGATAGGTGGAGGCCCAGCTGACCGAGGCCAGCATCAGGGCGGTGCTGACTCTCGGGACAAACTTTGACTAGCGGCAGATACATTACTCTCGCACACTTGAAATGTACTTGCATGTGTAAGGCTTTGGAAGTTCTACAAAACTATTGGAAGGTTTGCAGCAAATGACTGAAGACATACATCACAAAGCACTGACAAAAACTCAAAAATGAGCTCATGATTGACTGACATTCTTTGACCACCCATTCGTCTTGTATTTTATCTCTTTCAACAGCAGGGGAAAGACTCAAGACTTTTTCATGGCTGCACCATAGCAAATACATAAATATTGTCAGTGTGTATCATTTTGTTCTTATTACCACAAAACATCAGCCTGATTTTCTCACTTTGGAATTTGTTTTGCATAATTTCACTTTTCTGAGGGTTTATTACTTGTTCTTGGCTGCACAACATGAGTTTGTTTACAGCTTAGGGCTGGGCAATAAAACAATAACGATAATTATCGCAACATAATTTTCCTCAATAACAATAAAATAAATATATCGTCATAACATATGTGGTTTAGTTCATATGAATCACAAACAAATTAGCACTTACTTTTTCTATTAAAATATTTGTTTTGTTAAGGAAAAGGGACTGAAAAAAAATTTAGTAATCATATTTAATATTTAATCATAGTAATCATAACAGTTTTGAATGTTCTACCTCAGATTTGTTAAGTGATCCACTGTTTGGCATCAAGTGTTTGACACATTCTGACCGTAAAGAAAAGTTAAACCGCATAATTGACCATCTGGTTTCTTCAATTTTCACTCAGGAGTAAAAATTGGCCTTTAAACTTGAAAGAAATAATGATTTGACATACGTCGTGATGATTATTGATATATGAATTATATGAAATGTTTTTATCGTGATAACATTTTTGGCCATATCGCCCAGCCCTATTACAGCTAGTGAGGCCACTGGTGTTACTGGCAGAGTTTAAGAGGTTTAATGAAACTGAAGTGGACTCACCTGATCGAGCAGGTTGCTTTGCTACCGGCAGGGACACCTCAGTGAGTGGCAGGATGTAGACGTCCGGGCTGCCCTGGGACGCTGGCGAGGCCAAGGTGGACATATCTGCATGGTACTCCTCCCCGTCCACATTCTTGAATTCCTGGAAAACAGATACATGAAGAGGTCAAAGGTCATGCAAAGGAACTTGTTGCTTGCATTAGACTGGCAACTGGCTGGGCAACATGTATAGTTACTAAATTTATAACAAACTTCACAAGCATGTCCTAGTCTGCGTTTAGGGGAATTGTAGGTCGTATATCTACTCAACGCAATATGTAATATTTGGCTGCATATATGCAGAAAGCCATAGAATTAAAACAATACAAAATTGATGATATTCTGGCTCGACCACTGAAGCAGAACTGGGATAAACTGAGATAAACTGAGGCAAGCTGTCCTGGCCCAGTTCAGTGTTTCTCTGAGTCATTTGTGATAGTGATTGGAACGTCATAGTGTCAACAATGCCAATGTGATTTACCAAAAGATTATTTGCACTAAGATTACATGTATCTCAATCCTGTGCTTTGCAATTAAGCCCAATGATTTTAGTACTGAGATGCTTTCTGGAAGCCTTCAGAGCAACGCCTGGGGAGAAGAGCTTCTGTGGCTCACTCTGTTTCAAAAATACGCAAAATAATGAAAAACAGAAAGGAACTTTTGATTTCATTTACTGCACTCCTATAAGCTGCCATCTGATCCACCTCTCAGCTTCACAGGCCCCAAACTGCACCAAGCCGGAGATGGATCAATAAGTCTTCACAACGAGTGGCAGAAAGAGATTAGTGCTTGCACAAGAGACCCTGATAGCTCGACCACACTCTCATCTCTGGCAATAGAGATCTTCTAATATGTATTAACCATAATTTTAGAAAGAAGCTGTGAACAAAAGAGAGGACTATCTGTTAAGTAAATGAAGACTAACTGCTTTGTGGCTGCATAAAATCCAACATGTGGAAAAATAAACAAATAAAGAGGTAACAGTATTTGTATGAAAAAAGATGTTTGAAATGGTTAAATCACCAAGCAATGATTTCTACCTGAGGTAAACTAAATTTGCTCTATTTCCCTGTCTGTCTCTATTAAAAGAAAACAGTTTTCTTTTCATTTGATGGATCTACACATGAAGTGAAAAACTATTCTGTAATCACGTCATTGCTTTTGGAATTGCAAAAAACTAGTTTCTTAACATTTTATGGATGCAATGATCTTTTTAAAAGAAAAATTGGCCAATCAATGTCACATACAGTTAAATAGTTTAGAATATGCAGCTTTTGAAAATCCCTTTGAAGCACGTTTCAGGTTCTAGTGAGTCTTCTGTTTCTGATGAGTTTTCTATGTGTTACATTGAGGCCTGGGCTGGATGAACAGTGAGGAGCTCCTGAAAGATTCCTTCTGTCTGTTGAACGTAGTCAAAAATGAAGTAGAGGACGAAGAGGGGAGGGAGTTGGCTGCATCCACAGACCGGATGTCAGAATAAAAGTCTCTCAGTTGGGAGCTGGAGAGCAGCGGGGTCCCAACACTGGAAAAATGTGACCTGCTGCAGCCCTCTGCAACACCCACACATACACACACATATGCACATACATAAACACCTCCATCTCTCACTTCATCCTGTCCCTCAAGAATGCGAGCACATACACACAACACACATGTGCAGACTGCACACCCTTCCCTCCAAATCTTCACACGGCCCTGCTCGCCCTCCCGTTCAACATATGGTTTCACTCTCCACACACACTCTGTCACAGACACACACACACACAACAGCAATTTTCTAAACATCCTGCAGTAAAATGTATCAAAACCTGCATTAGTTTTCCTTAAAATAAACAAATATAAAATCTGACCGTGACCCGACCCCGTATAAGCAGTTAAAGATGATGATTATATAAAAAAATACCCATTATAATTTCCCACAATGCAAGGTGACACATTGAAATAGTTTTGTGCGGCCAACAGTCCAAAACTCAAAGATATTACAACTATATAAAAACAGCTATCAATCAATTGTCTAGTCTTTTTAGGACCAAATAAAACATGATTGAAAACAGAAAAAGAAAGCAAAAATATATTTACACTTGGTTTTGACATTATCTATAAACATGATTTAATATGACAGAAAAGTATTACAAATCCTATGATTTCATTCTTAAGATGTCCAACAAACTTCCTAAAATAATTACCAATCACTACATTTGCTTTGTCCTTTTAATCCACCAGTTGATTTCCCTGCTGGTAAAAAAAAGAAACCTGGAAAAAGTGTTAATGTGTTTCTGTGACCTAACAGCATATACAGTTAGCTTACCTTTCCTCAGAGTCCATAGGTGAGGATGATATGTCAAACGCCCTCAGCTGTGGTTACAGCATCTCAACCGCTTTCTGGTTTTCTCGCACACACCCATAAAAACACACACACACACACTCAGTGGCCCCCAAGGGTTCCCATTTGTGTGATGGGTGCAGGATAGCAGGGGGTTGGCAGTGCCAGGAAGAGCGGCTGCAGAAAAAGGCATCATCATTCTGCAGAGAGACTTTCATTGTTGAGTCCAGAGAGGAGGAAGAGGCTTTGTAGCTGACCACTGACTGTCCCCAGGATCTGCTGGGGATGGAGGGATGGCGGGAGAGAAAACAAGAAGGGGGGAGAGGAAGAAGGAGGAGCACCATCTCCCGGTTCACAAGCACGACCGAACCTGTGGTCGTCTCATGAGGGAGAGGAGAGAAATTGAGCCCCCACAAAAATGTGAGGGAGAAAAATACAAGGGGGAGGTGGGGGGGGGGGGGGGGGGGTCACATACTATACATGTGACATCACTCGCTCTCTTCCTCTTTTTCTCTCGCTCCCAAAAGCCAAAGAACATCTGCAGGGCAGTCCCCTTCCCCACTAAACCGAGAAAACACATTTTTTATATATATACTTGTGAGGACTGTCCACTGACTACTTTCATTCCTGACCTTCAGCTCAATCATTACAGGCCTAAAGCTGAACCTAAGCCCAGCTGTTAACCCTTAATTAAATTTAACCCTTACTCTGACCTGACTTAGTTTAGCCTTATACAGTTAAGTCATTTTGCAGATTTACATTCATGAGGAAACAGAACCCCCTTATTTCTGTACCTTAAACCTTTCATATTGAAATTAAGGGGTGTGTGTGCATGAAATGCATGATCTTAAGTAGAATAGCAACTGACTGTGATTCTTCAAAAGCAAAAAAAGTATGACTTTCCTAAAAAAAAACTAACAAAAAAAATTGTATGGACTCATCCAAAAAAAATCCCTCTCAATCACTTATGACCCACTAGAAGTGTGTGTCGATGTCTGTCCCTGCAAAGACTTTGTCCTCTGCCCGCATTTTCTTCTTATCTGGCCGTGTTTGGGCAGCGTGCAGGGTGTAAGGACGGGACTCTATGAAAACGTAGTGAGTAGGATACATTGCTGTCTCCATCTCTCTCCTCTGCTCTGTGTCATGCACACAGAGCTACATGTCTGGGCTTTGTTTGTTTGTTTGACCGAACTCGACCACCGTTGCGCTCTCTCGCCGTCACTCGTTGAGGAGGGGCCAACTCTGAATGGTGTGTTTACAAAGTGCAACTGACGTATTTAACACATCCTGCCTTTAAAAAACAAACTGTTGGCTTTTGGGCCTCGGTCCACTCTTGGGTTAATGATTAATAAATAACCTGATTTAAGGTTGTTTTTTTAAGATTAAAATAAATTTCAGGGACTTAATTCACAGATTTAAGGAACCCTGAATTAGATTTTTTTTTTTTTTTTTAAAGAATGATTCTGCTGGTGATTGAGTTTGAAGTTTGTTTACCATGTTAAGAAAAAAGTTGTTTAGCAAAGTCTGCTCTGATTTTGCTCATCACTTTGGTTGAAGGTTTGAGGCCGTACGTACCAAATGTATTGAAAATAAAAATTTGGGCAGCACCACTTTGTCAAACAATAATCTGAACAGTTAAACAGTTTTGGGAAATACGCTTTTATAATACAAAGAGTTAGATAAGATGATGAGAAGAATACTCATCCTTCTATATGAAGGTACAGCCAGCAGCCGCTTAACTTAACATAAAGACTGGAAAAGGGGAACCAGCTACTCTGGCCCTGTTCAAAGGTAACAAAATCCACCTACCAGCGCTCACTGATTATTAAATTTGTTTAATCTGTACAAAAACTGTGTTAAAAATACAATTTGTGGTTTTATAATAGGTTATATGCAAGATTAATTCTTGGCCATGCAAAAGAAATATCAATAGTTTCATCCGACACTCAGCAAGAAAGTGAAAAGGCACCTCCAAGTGACGAAGTTGTGCACATTTTCCATTTAAAAAAATCTTTTTTTTGCCGTGTAAAGAATTATATAAATTTTCAAAAGGTCAGAATTTGCACATGCCACTCATTTCTACATTTTTACATGATGTAAAAGCTCACCATCTTTTCATCACTGTCAGTAAAACACAGAGAGCTTTTCTAACTTTTTTTCTTTCTGAAATTCCCTCTTCCTGCTCTGGGAGAAGCTGTGTCTAATTCCAGATGGGGCCCTGAGGCCGGATGCACTGTGGGCTCATGGGTATGCCCTTCCTCACGCCCCCGCGCCCTCTCACAACCCCCTCCTCCCACCCTGGCCCCTTCCACGGACACACCCTGACAGGTCCGAGCTGGGTGGTCCAACCCGCCAAAGACACAAACCAGCTATGAGGCATATCTTACTGTATATCTTCAGTAGATGGCTATTCCTTGCAGCAGGATGACAAGAACAGGATGTTATGTAATTTGGCTACAGACACTTCTCTCATCATATGGTTCTGTTTACAGTGTCACCGCGGCATAAACGTTTCTGCAGTTTACTCTAAAGCTACTTAAATTCTGTCACTTCCTTACATGATTCTCTGACATATTAATAAGTTCTTTTGACAGTTTCTAGTACAGTAGGGCTTGTTGCAGAGGAAGAAGGACAAAAGTTATGATGTAGCATGGCAGCTTTGTAGATAATATTATCAAATATTTAATTTGGTCTTTTGAGTTTCCAGAACTCCAGGTTGCTTTTTAAATGTTTTGTTTTGCCCAACCAGCAGTTGAAAACCCAAAAGATTTAGAATTTACAGTGACATAAAGCAGACAAAAGCTGTAACTCATCACATTAAAAAAATAGCTTTTTTAGCCTCGCTTGTCAGGTGGGCGGTTCAGCACTTTGGTCCAAACTGAAATCAAGAACTACTGCATGGATTTCCATGACATTACAGACACAGATGGTCCCCAAGGGGTGGGATGTAATAACTTTAGTGATCCATTAATGTTTTATCTCGCAGCATTATCAGATTAATATTTTAATTGTGTAATTTGAATGTGCTTAATGAATTAAATCATTAACCAATTATTAGGTTGCTGATTCTGTTAATTAACTTATGAATTAATCAACTAATTGTTTCCATGAAAAATACTGTGTGATTTTAGTGCGATGTAAAGGTAGTTTATCGAACTATGGTGTATTTGTTTACAAGTTTAACATGTGAATCAGCAGGAACACACAGCACTAATTCATGTCCACATACATGCAGGACCTAAAACGCAGTGACACAGACACAGATTTAAGCATTCTGCACACCATTCCTCCAATGTACATTCTCTCTCACACACACTATCTTCCTTGCTCCTTGTCCTATTTTCTCCGGTGGCATGACCCATTTCAGCACACTGCTCAGAAATGGGGTATACATGAAACACACAAGATGGTCCTGAAAAGCTGCAGGCTTCCCATCGCTCCGTAAACACTGTCTCTACCACCTTTGTCTGGAACTGTTTACCTCCCATCAACATTTTCTAAGTATAAATGGCTGGAGTTCTTGTGTACTGAACATAATGGACATCTGATGAGAGGCTCAGAGGAACGTCCTGTGTTCAGTCCATTTGCAGTACACTCTTGGGCAAAGAGAGTTAGAGTGTGTATCTCTATTCAAGAACTCGTATAAAACTCCGTATGATTTAATGAGTGTGCATGACGGTGGAGAAGTGTGCCAGTTTTTCTTCATGCCTCATATTTTTTTCATGTTTCATGTGCAAGTTGAAGAGAAATGGTGTTTCAGCTCAAAGGAGATGCCCACCTTGAAGCCGATTTTGCCCTTCTTGCAGCAGAGGCAGGCCAGCATGAGGAAGACGAAGGTGAACAGACCCGAGAAGGAGATGGCCACCACAGCCAGGGACGACGACCAAGACAAGTCACTCAGCGGAGCGCCATCTGCAGGACACATAAAGTGTTACAGAACAACAGAATATTAGCTCAAACATAAGACTCTAGTATTGATCTGTATGGTACAGCATGTATGACATTAGCGAGCTATTAGATTACAACAATAAGTGGATGAATGTAATTTACATTGATACATTACTGTATGTGAGTAGGTTATACGCATCATTTCTAATGCATTATACAGTAGCTTATGTTCTGCTGCTTTCTCAGAAGACCTTGTATTTCCATTTAATGACATTCACATGTTTGATTTATAACTTGCCTTCATGTTTTTTCTCAAAATGAAATGCTCTGAAACATGAATCCAGCACACAATGATCACACCGCTGCTCAGAAAACCTTCACCTGGCAACAGAGGCGTATCTTTTGTATGAATATGTTTTCATAACGTTTTCATTTACTTTCAAACAGAACTGTGAAAGTGATTTGCAAGTAAAGATATTGCTTAACTTTACCCAAATAAAAAGTGACATTTCTTTGGATATTTCTCATGTGTCAACAACCATCTGCTTAATGTGTTTATGACAGTCCACAACCCTCGAGTATTGTATTGAATATTGTATATGAATTGTTTATTTTTCTAGTTTATTCTTATCCCTCTTCTGTGTACACATAGGCTAAATAAAAACACATGCTCTCTTGTTTTACATTACATTTACTCATTTGGCTGACGTTTTTAGCCGAAGCATCTTACATTGGAGGAACAACATACAAGCATCAGTAAAGTGAGAAATCTACAAGTGACAATAGATACTAGTAAGAGTAGCAATAAATACTATATTATGGCATTCATACGGTATCAGGAAGTAAGAGTTCACAAACAGTGCAATCAATACAAGAGAAGTGTAAGGAGATATAAGAAGCACAGGAAATGCATGTTAGAGGTTAGGAGTTAGAGGTGTTCTAAGAGGAACTATTCTCGGAAGAGTTTTCAAGAGCTTCTTTAAGTTAGAGAGGGACGGCCCTGTTCTGACGGCGCGTGGTAGCTCGTTCCACCATCATGGTGTCACCGATGAGAACAGCCGAGAAGAGATTGCTTTGTGTGTAGGGATGGCAGAGCCAGGCGGCGTGTTTTGGCTTTTTATTTGTGTCATGTGCATTTTCTTGAAAACATAATGCTGCATTTCCCCACTATTCGTTGTTAATGATGCAGGTTTTAACTATTTGCATGGGCTAACTTACCTTTCTGGTTGCTTTTACTCACATTTTGTGATTTTGAGAATATAAATGGGGGAAAAAATCACAGTATTGTAAAAGTTTATAGGTTCTGTTATCTTCCAAGCAGACTTTCATGAAACCCACAGAGCAACATGTTAGTCATATCTTCCATCAGGTCAAACATCTGAGTTGACCCTTTTATAATACTGACGTTGAGCAGTTTCATTTGAAGGAATCTCAGCATGTTTTTTGTTGTTATTTTTGATTATCTTACACTGTTAGGCCACACAACTCTGTAACATGTAACCCAGACCTGTGAGCTGGGTATTAAAGGTGATTTACAGGCAGAAATGCAATATAAGATAAGAATCAGTGTGTAAAGACTTTACATAATGAACCGTTATGTTTTTATTACCTTAGAATGAGACATTTCTATCTCCATAACTGCAGGTCCTCTTACATGGAGGTCGCCATATTGTGTCGTCATGTTTCTACAATAGCCAACAACGGACAAACAGCGCGTGTTTCGTCATCACAGCGTTCTTCTGCTTGTATATTCAGGCAGTGTAGATGTCTGTCACTACATTATATGCGTTAATAATATATACAGGCTCTGAGTAGTTGTCTGGTTTATTAGAAGTAAGAAGATAACTGTCATTTGGACAAATGAACGAGCACACGGGTTATTTAGAACGAGCCCGACAGCCTGTGGATCTTTATACAATGAAGCCAGACGGAGTCGGGACAGATGCAGACAGCTGACGGCAAAAAATCACAGATATAATCGATGTGGATTTTCCCAGATGGAAGGCTTTGATGTGGGACGGATGTTTTCAAAGCGGTGTCTGTTTTCGGCTAGACAGGTAATTAAGTTAGTCAGACTTTAACGATGCAAATGAAAGCTGTTGTTTGATAGCTTGAGCTCGAAACTGGCCATAATCACTGAGAGAAGTGACGTGTTTACCATATCAGTGGTGTAAAATATGTAATGTTAGTTGGATTAATTTCACGTAGCCTAGTTATTCTCCAGCCTGTAGTTTGGCTTTGCAGGTTACGTTAGCGAGACAATCAGTAATTGGTTAGCTTAAAGCTTGGAAGCGATCAGCCAGCTAAAAGTTTACTGCCCTGGTAGAAAAATCATGTAGTTGGATTGTAATTTCATGTAGTGACTCTCCAGCGCTCTCGTTCGACTTTGTCAGTAACATTAATGAAACAATCAGCTGATCACTAATTGGCAATAAAACGTAGCCTCCATAGAAGCTCAGATCAGACAACTAAACTTTTAGTGCTCTGGTAGAAAATCATGTAGTTGGATTGTAATTTCATGTAGTTATTCCACAGCACTATGTTATGGCTTTGCTACGTGGACAAAAATGTGCAGTTACCTTTGTGAGCTGATGAATATTATTGGCAATAAAACTGTAACTGCATGGAAGCTCAGATTAAGCAACTAAACTTTACATTTTAGTGCCCTGGTGGAAAACATGTATTTCTTTTTACTGCTAATGGTGATACATAACAAGACCATTTGCCTACCAAGTGACCAATAACGAATATTTTCCGAATTTGCATTAAAAAAGAGGTTTTGGGGTTTTTTGGATATTGTTTCACTACTGTGCACACAGATGTGTAATTTGTACTTTCACATGCTAAATGCCCATTAAAAACTGTTGTATTTTAAAAAGTTAAAAAAAGACATTTTGGTAAGATTTGCAGATTGCTTATCTAATTAATTAAGCAAAGCAATTGAAGCCTTGATCCTCACCTGACAATGCTTTTGTAGGACTGTGGTGCAGAAACAGTGAGGCTTACATTTCCTGTTATCTGTCAGTGGCCATAGTTTAATGAAGCAGTAACCATAATATTCCAAAAAACATTTCTTAATATATCTATCTAAAGAAACCCCATGTCTTGACTGGCAACTCTCTGCTATCTCATAGACGACATCTTTTGTCCTGTCTCAGGCACCGTAGCCATACTACTTGCTTGGATTGGGGAGGGGTGTGCAATTTGCAACCCTCACCACTAGATGCCACTAAAACTTACATTTGTTTCAGTATGATTTAAAGGCAAACGACGTGATTATTTATGTAAAAGTGAGATCCAATTAGGCTATAATAATGTTACATTATTAATGCAGTTTACTAACAGTATTTACACACTCTAGTTCTGCCTCTGAAGCCAAACAGTGTACATTTCTTTGTTATTTTTCCTCAGGCCCTATTTGTTATTCTGCTGCTCTGAGCCTCATTCTGTATCAGAAAAGCCAATTTTCAGACTTTGATGGTTTGAATTATCCTCAGTGTGTGCCACGTGCATGCTGTCCAATATTGTATGCAATTTAAAGAGTATCTTGTTCCCAATTTTGGGGGCATTTTTGAGCAGCGGACGATTTATTTTTCTCATTCTGCGATGGCTTCAGAAATGTAACGGTTACCACGGAAACAGATTGGACGGACAGCCATGCAGGATTGCCTTCAGCTGTAAATCTCTCACACTGATTCCTGCCAGCAGCAGTGCCACCCAGCTCCACACACATATATAAACATAATAAACAGAGCACAGAGTCATTTCTGCTGCCAGTTTGTGCTGATCCTCTGAAAGCTGTTGCGACTGGCTCTGAGTGAATATCAGCCTCTTAGTATAATTGGACAGAGCACGAACACTGTTGTTTGGGAGGCCGGCTGGCAGAATGTAGAAAGAATATTCACAAAAAGAAAAACATGCAAATTTAACAGTCAAATACAGGATTAGCTGAGTTTTGGAACATGGAGTCCTAATCTGAATTTTTCCGGCATTTTCACTCGGACGGGCTAAATAAAATAAGTGGTCCAGTAACGGTGTCCATAAAAAGTGCAATATGATGCCACAGCAGCAGAGTGGGAGGAAGAGGTAGAAAAGGCCAGCTTGCTAAATCAGTCAATAACCATTTAGTGATTTGAAATGCTATACAAGAAGATTCAGATTTAATTACTTTTTATTTGTCAGGGGGGTAATTACAGAGAGCTGAGACATATTCTGGCTCTGTTGTGGGTTTTTTAAAACGCCTTTGCTAACGAATCTCATTCCCCCCGGCAGCACAAGTTGAAGATTGTGACTGGGGATGCAGTTTGGGATTAATATTTCAGGAACACACTTAGGTCCACATGTAGTCGAAATGAAAACAGAGCATTTAAGTTCAGCCGATATGATAATAATAATGTACAATCCTAGGTAGAAGCAAAATTCTTTGACTGCCACACCCCTAGTCTGCAAGATCCCACTAACACCTATTGTCTGTGTATCCAAACCCTGATATGGCTTCTAATTTCTCTTTGTGCCATAGAGCTCCATTGTAATCCATGAGCCTCACTGTTGCACTGGGTGACATGTTCCTTTATTAGTTTATTTTTGACTTAATCTCACATACAGCTACATCCATTAGCAACAAATGGATTAATCAGCAAATGAAAATAGTCCACAACAAATGCATTATTTACTCCTGCTTGAGTACTTGTTGCTTAAAAGCCACAGTGCCTTAAGGCTCGTGCAGAGTACACGACTTTCAGCGTCGGCCGAAGGTTCGCAGACGGGAGTCTGAAGTCGTTATGGCGTTCACACTAAGTGACTGATCGGTGACAGGGGGTCACACGCTGGCGACCGCAGATCGATCCCTGATTTACCCCTGATCACAGCTCGACGGTCGCAGAGCGGCAAATTGGGCTTAAAATCGTGTAGTGCGAACTAGGCTTTGGGAAATAGTTTAGCTTGTGACCCATTTTTATGGATTTAAAGCATATCTTCAGAAGTATCCAGTGGGTTTAAGTCAGAAAATACTGAGGCAGCCTCATTGATTTTGGTCTTTTCATGGGATTAACA